AAGTAGCTTCTATAGTAACGGCACTGATTTCAGTGCTGAGCGTATAACTAGACGGCTCCTTGACATCCATCGCCAGTAAACCTGAGGCGTCTCCAGTTTTTGTCTCTTCACTCACAGTTCAGTCTAATATACAATCAACAGCAACAACTTGTATTTATAGATCGCCCTTCACGTGGGGTAGCGTCCCGGAGCACAGCTAATATACAGTCCTACACACTCTTCTTCCTTTCTGCATTCTCACTGCATTGTTAACAAAACTCATCACACTGTCTCCTGCTCCAGGGATTCCTACCCATTTCTCTGCAAGATATAAATACTGTAGAAGTTCTTATTCCTTCCAATTCCAATCCAGTTGCAATCCAGTTCAGTTCCTCCTAACTTTCAGTTGAAGACTTAAGCTTTGTGCTGCACAATTAGTTACGAACATCCCATTTTCTTTGCTCTTCCATCTCTCTTGGTTATGACCTGGGCATTCAACAACTGTTCCAAAGACGTTTGTTATTCAAAAAAAAGGCATCTATTTTCCTTAAGTTTTTTTTTCTATGTCCGGGATTAAAACTCAGTAAATACGCTTTACAATATGTCCTACGAAATGCTTTAATATGTCCCCCCGATGAGAAAGCTAATATATCAGATGAAAGATTTATGTCTTTTTAATTGTTTAGTGTTTTTGCTTGACCTTTTCTTTCAGCTGTTGTCACAGTTGCTACTTATGAACGACTCTAAGCAATTTATCCTGCTGATGCTAGCCCTTCCGTACACTCCTTAACACATGGCGCACACACCACCAACGCTCTTTACCACCATGTTCTGCACTTGTTAGAACCGGAATATATCTTGCTGCAGACGTGTGGGTAAATTAGAAGCACAGAAATCGGATGTATTGGGAGTTGGGTATTTTTTTATTATCATCGCGTTTTCTATCTTTACGTAAAGTATTCCCCTCATAAATGTGGCTGCAATTTGGAAGTTTTTCAGAACTGCAGAGAGAGGGACTGCAAGAGGAAATAACTATAATAAGAAATTCCTTTGTATAATCTTGTCCCAACGTGCGCAGGAGGAATTCTTCACTTTATTCTTCTGTGAAAGTGCATGTTCAATGTCACAAAGCGGTGTTAGAAAAGTCCTACTCAACAACTAACCTGTAACAAAATACCGTCTAGAGTTGGCAAGGCTAATGAATGAGTCACAGTGTTGTTCTGACTGTTGTTTCTTTCTCTGCCTTCATATTGCATCCGATCTTTTGCGCCCTGGTGCAGGTCTGCCCTAACCTGCTACTTGTTCCGTGTCTGAACCCAAAATGGGTTTTACTCCTTCTGTTAATCTTCCTGTTATATGCCAAGTAACACTTCACCCATAAAATACACAGTCTGTGCCCTTTACTGTGAAGCTCTTTGAGACGTCTCAACAATGTGATAAGGCTCTGTATCGAATGCAAGGATAATTATGTGGTGAATAAATATAGATCCTGGTAACAAAACCAGGAGAGTGAGAATGGTGGGTAGTATTTAATAACATAAATTGTTAACACTAAGTAAATTATCCTAAGGTGGGTGGGGGTGTGTGTGTATGCGTGACTGTATTGTATGTTTATCGTGTGTGTGTGATATATTGTATGTTTATCGTGTGTGTGTGAGAGAGAGAATATATTGTATGTTTATCGTGTGTGTGTGAGAGAGACTATATTGTATGTTTATCGTGTGTGTGTGAGAGAGAGAATATATTGTATGTTTATCGTGTGTGTGTGAGAGAGAGAATATATTGTATGTTTATCGTGTGTGTGTGAGAGAGAATGTATTGTATGTTTATCGTGTGTGTGTGTGAGAGAGAATATATTGTATGTTTATCGTGTGTGTGTGAGAGAGACTATATTGTATGTTTATCGTGTGTGTGTGGGTGAGAAAGACTATATTGTATGTTTATCGTGTGTGTGTGTGTGTGTGTGAGAGAGACTATATTGTATGTTTATCGTGTGTGTGTGAGAGAGACTATATTGTATGTTTATCGTGTGTGTGTGAGAGAGACTATATTGTATGTTTATCGCGTGTGTGTGAGAGAGACTATATTGTATGTTTATCGCGTGTGTGTGAGAGAGAGAATATATTGTATGTTTATCGCGTGTGTATGTGAGAGAGAATATATTGTATGTTTATCGTGTGTGTGTGAGAGAGACTATATTGTATGTTTATCGTGTGTGTGTGAGAGAGAATATATTGTATGTTTATCGTGTGTGTGTGAGAGAGAATATATTGTATGTTTATTGTGTGTGTGTGAGAGAGACTATATTGTATGTTTATTGTGTGTGTGTGTGAGAGAGACTATATTGTATGTTTATCGTGTGTGTGAGAGACTATATTGTATGTTTATTGTGTGTGTGTGAGAGAGACTATATTGTATGTTTATCGTGTGTGTGTGAGAGAGAGACTATATTGTATGTTTATCGTGTGTGTGAGAGACTATATTGTATGTTTATTGTGTGTGTGTGAGAGAGACTATATTGTATGTTTATCGTGTGTGTGTGAGAGAGACTATATTGTATGTTTATCGTGTGTGTGTGTGTGTGAGAGAGACTATATTGTATCCGCGCCTCGGTGAAGTGTGCTATGTAAATGCAAGTTATTGTTTATAGTATGTGTCCTTCTTTATTGTTTATCACTAGTGCGGCTGCGAGAAATGATATTGTATGTGACTGTCATCGCTCTTGGGCTAATTTTCTACTTTGTGTATATCTCTAATTGTGCATGCCTGAGTATGCTCCTTGGGGGGTGGGGGGGTGGGGGGAGGAGGTAAGAGGGTCTCCTTGGAGCTGGAGCTCTAAGGTGACATGTTTAGCAATCGAATGTCGGAATTGAGCAGACCCCCTGTGGCGGTCTCGGTAGTTTGGTTCCTGAGCCAGGCCGGTCCGCAGTATCTGCAGGACATTGCTGATAACAGCACAGAACCTGGAAGGGCAGACCAGCCACTGGGAGCAGGGAGTCATCCCACTCAGCTCCTGTTATCCCCTGCAAGCGTGTTTGACGTTCATTAATAATATGAGGCTTAATACGTTTCATGTTTGAAAGTGATGAATTTACGCTTAAAGTGTAAAACCTGTATTTTGGCAGAATTGCACCAAGGAGAACACTATAGTTCTCTGCTCTAACGCAGGCAAGCAGGTCTGCACAGTAACTGGCAAGATTCTCAAATTGAGTATGTTGAGCAAATTGGGAGATGGTTGGCTCAGGCCCATGCGTGAATTCTGCTTCAATTTACAAGTGGTTTGAATTTTCTGGTTCCTGCAGTCACATGAGACAATGTATAGATTGGGCCTGGACCCCACAATGGAAAAACATCTGTGGCTTTTAATGACCCCGCTGCTCTGCTCACGTTAAAGACACATACTGGGATTTTATTTAGTCATTTGTTTTCAAAAACAAATTCTTGGCTCTGGGTCCTGGGTGATGTATAGGGATGGGGTGAGGTCTCCTCACTGAACAAACTCATATGGGCACCAGTTCTCTAAGGTGCCTTGTCAGCCAGTATCAAATGCTAATCATTTCATGCAGTGAACGTGAACTCAGTTTTACTAGTTGAGATGGTCTTTGGTCTTTTTGCTTGCTGCCTCTCGGCCCACCTCCCCCTCAACTAAAATAACAACAGAAGTCGCTGGGAACACTCAGCAGGTCAGGCAGCATCTATGGAGAGAGGAAAGTGATCGCAGACCTTTGTAATTGAACACCTGGGTTCAATTCCAGGCAGGGTGAAACCTTGGGCAAGTTTCCTTGCTCCACACGCCTAATAATAATCCCTCCAAAACAAAGCAATAATAAATTGGTCATTTTTAATCCACGACTGTTTGTGGGATGCTGCTGTGTGCAATTGGCTGCTGTCTTTCGCCCACAAGTACAGTCAATTCACTTTACAGCAACTCTGTGAAGCGCTTTGAGACGTCGAGAAGACGTGAAAAGCGCTATATCAAACGCAAGGATTATTATTATTATTATGAACAGCAATTAGTCTGTTTTTGCATTTGGTGGCGGATTGTTTTCCAGTCCAAAGCAAAAGGAAAGGAAATGAGTTCTAAAAGTTTTGAGGGATTGTTTTACATCTGATGAATGGAATTTGGTTGCCTAAGGCTATACTATCTATTCGAGGCTGAATGGGACACAAATCATAACAGTATTTCTCCACTGTTCTTCTGAAGACACTGATTTGTGTTGGATCTTATTCTTTGGGCAAGTGTGCATACTGTGTTTTGGGTGTGTGTGTGTAAACTGTATGATGCACACAGGCAGACCATTTAGTTAAGTGCATCGCAACCAGGCTGAATCCAGTCATCGCTAGTGGAGCTGCTACATATGAATTTCCTGGCAGAATCACAGGATAGGAATGAGGGTCTAACCTGGGCCATTGAGGGCAATGTACGACCTCCCTGCTGTTATCGCAGATGATAATATCAGCTACCTTGTTGAAGACGGTATCAGACCTGAGACTCACCTCCTACTTCGTAAAAGTGCAAGGACATGCAAGCCAGAGATTCACAGGTGTAAAACTAACTGCAACAACAACAAAATTACATTTCTATAGCGCCTTTCACGTTGGGAAATAGCTCATTTTAGCCGTTGGGTCACCACAGTTTGCCTCAGTGCCCCGGGGTTAGAGAGAGGAAACTCAGCTCAAATTGTCACTCCTGATCATATCCAGATAGCACCTGCTGGAAGGGGCAAGTCTCGACATTAGCTGAATACCATATTAGCTGTTAGCCGTGATTTTGTCCTGATCACCTCCCATCCCCCTTTTTTTTCACACAGGGGAGGTTTAGAGAAAAACACACTTCTGAATTTCTATTTTTTTGAATTTAATAATCTTTACGTTTGACATTGCGCCTTTCATGTTGGGAGGAACTCCGAAACGCTTTACAGGATTTACTAATGATGTATTTTGTAAATAATCAATTCACAAATGTATTCTGAATCCTTAAACTTTAGAATCTTACTCATTTAATTGCTTTCTTCTTACAGACCAGATCACTTGAATGGCCACATCAAACAGGTGCATACTGCAGAGAGACCCTTTAAATGCCAGGTGAGTTGCTTGTTTAGAGTGTATTCTGTATCGGGTAGAGCTGAAGTGCTGAGAATGGAGTTAATGTGAATGCCATAACTGTTTATATACTACGCTAGCTGTACCCGTTGCAGCTACGCTTGCAACCAGTTTCATTTAATCGGCCTTCTCTCTTTCGTCTGACTTTTTTATTTGTCCTTGAAAGGCTTGATCTTTGCTTCTCAGGCATCTTTAACCCTTAAGATTAATAAAATGTGCTATTGAACTCGTTGGCATCCTGTGTTCACATATTTGCACACATATACTTTTGGGCGGGCTCCAACCAGGGGCGGGCTCCTCTTCCCAAGACCTTTCTGATGAGGTGTAAATCAAAAGAAATAAGCCCATGACATTCCTCCATGCAAAACCTTTCCCATGAGGTATAAATCGTGTCTTTGCGTCAATCGGTTATTGCGTTATTGGCGGTCAGACGCACAGAGACATTTTGTCTTTATTAGTATAGATGTATCTCTCTAGAAGGGTGTGTGATTTCCTCTGTCGCTGCTTTGTTGCAGAATACCATGCATACTTTTGGGGGGATTAATTGAAGCATTTTTTAATATAGCTCATCAACGATAGGAGATCCCTGAAAAATATGCACATGGCACTCCCCCTGCAAGACCTTTCTGAAGAGGTATAAATCATGTCTCTATGTCAATCGGTTATTGCGTTCTTGGCGGAGGGACAGACAGCCACACAGACATTACGTCTTTATTAGTACAGATAACATACTAGTCCTGTAGCTCAGTGATTAGAGCGCTCGCCTCGCAAACGAGAGAACCTGGGTTCGATTCCCTGGTGGAGTAAAGGGTTGGGCAAGTTTCCTTACTCCACACACCTCTGTTTACCTAGCAGTAAGTAGGAACTCGGTTGTTAGTCAAATGGCGGTTTGAAACTTGCTTTTCCGGGAGTAATAACCCTGTTTTTTAAAACAAAATTAAAAATAATGTGGTCACTCAATCCACGACTGTTTGTGCGCAATTGGTTGCTGCGTTTCGCCCACAAATATACAGTCACTACACTTTACAGTATGTTCTGTGAAGCGCTTTGAGACGTCTCGAAGATGTGATAATGCGCTATATCAAATGCAAGGATTATTATTATTATTACAGCCCAGCGAATGAAAAATTGGGATGAACAGGATACTGTGATAACAGCTCTCGCTGTTTATCAGATCAGCCAACATTGCAGATATTCCGCTTGACAATTTTGTGAGGATATTTTGCCGGCAGCACCACACATATCCAATGTTCTTATCTCACCCAAAATATCTGTGCGTCAATGATGAGGCTCTGGTTGACAAAGTCAAGGACCACCTCGAACAACGAGAGAGATAGTTGTTACGTGTGGGGGGTTGAAGCAGTTGATCTTAGCGGCTGTGAATTCAGACTCAGCTGCTTATTTTTAAACGGTTTGCCTTAAATGCGAAGCTGCATGACAATCCCCATTGCTGCCCATCTTATCTCCTAAGTCCTGTAGCTCAGTGGTTAGAGCACTCGCTTTGCAAGTGAGAGACCTGAGTTCAATTCCAGGCAGAGGGCGAAACCTTGGGCAAGTTTCCTTACTCCACACAGAGCCTAATAATAATCCCTCCAAAACAAAAACAATAATAAATTGGTCATTTTCAATCTACGACTGTTTGTGGGACATTGCTGTGTGCAATTGGCTGCCGCGTTCGCCCACAAATATACAGTCAATTCACTTTACAGTATATTCTGTGAAGCGCTTTGGGACGTCCTCCCGACGTGAAAAGTGCTATATCAAATGCAAGGATTATTATTATTATTATTATATGTTGCTGTTTATCATGCAATAGATCTAACGGAAATGGCTATGTGAAGGTTCATTATTATTGCTAGTGTTATCTTCATATCTGCATAACACCAGCAGTAATAATAAAACATGTGAATAGAAACACAAATTGTCTGGAAACCTTTGAAGTTTCTAGTTGGGTGTCTTTGGTGATTCGATGAGGTGCAGAGCTTCCCGGAATCCTCTTCTTCCACAGTCGCAAAGTTCACAAATACAAATCTATATATTACATTCTGGCTGTCAGTCTGGGTTGAACTTGATCACCAGAACTAGATGGACCTTGGTCTTTTTTCGTCCAGCATTTCTCATGTTCTTATGTTTGTTTACAATAGTGGACATACTTCAGGGCTGACGGTGTGCAGTCATATTAAATAAGAATAATCCTTTCATTTGATACAGCGCCTTATCAAGTTGTTGAGATGTCTCAAAGCGCTTCACAGGATATACTTTAAAGTGAATTGACTGTATATTTTGTGGGTGAGAAGACGCGGCAGCCAATTGCGCACAACAGCGTCCCACAAACAATCGTGGATTGAGCGAACAAATGATTATAATTTTTTATAATTATGATGAGTCGTGTCTCATTGTTGCCCATGGTGGCCTCTCCTCACAGACTTGTGAAGCTTCATTTGCGACCAAAGACCGCTTGCGCTCCCATTTGACGTGTCATGAGGAAAAAGTCCCTTGTCAGGTGTGCGGGAAGTATCTACGTGCAGCATATATGGCAGATCATGTCAAAAAGCACAACGAGGGACCAAACAACATCTGCAACATCTGCCACAAAGGTAACTTGAAAACATTCGGTTTTACACCTTTTATAAGAAATCATTTTTGTTTCAAAAGGCCAAACTGGCCCTAATTGCTCTAGGTGAAGTTTGTTGTGTCTGTTCAGATATCTGGAGATTTCTTTTGTCTGTTCTCACGCAGTGTATTTTGTTTGGACCCAGGGTTGTAGGTTTTTATTTGTAGTCAAAGATTCAATAATCTTAACCACATTCAGTGTTTATTTTTGGCTGGGAAAGCTGCTGCTGATGAAGTAGGAAAAGATGGCAGCCTAGAAAAGATCGTAAATTCCTTGAGCGTTTCAAATGTATTTTTCTAACGTTGCATTCACTCGATGAATAAGGTAAGAAAATCAATCAATATTATTCACGATATTGTAAAATTATTAGTTCTCTATAGTCTCCTCTTTTCCCAAATTACACTTGAGGGCTAATGGTTGCCATCTTACCAAGGAAGTGTCAGCTTCTGGGTCTGAAGATTGTGGTTTCAAGACTTTTGTTGGGACTTTGAGCTCACAGGCTTTGAGGCTGGCACTCCAATGCAGTCCTGGGGTACTGTATTGTGGACAGAGTTTCTCATAGTCTCCTAATAACATAACGTATTATGTAATAGTATTTTTATTAATAATTATCCTTGTATTTGATGCAGCACCTTAACATATTGAACTGCCTCAAAGTTCTTCACAGTAATTACCATTGAGTGTATTTGTAGGCCAATTTGCGCCCAGCGATGTCCCAATAAATAGCAAGGAGGTGAATGTCCAATTTTACTGTGGGATTGTTGACCAGCAGACTGGGAGAAATTCCCTTCTCTTATAATATAATGGTTTCTTTAACATCCATCTGAAGACAGACATTCCTCCAGCACTGCAGTGGAATGTCAGTGAAGACCAGGATTTCAAAGGGCCCCACACAGCATTTAAACTGAAGTTTCTGACCCACAGTCCAGAGTGCTACCAGCTGAGCCAGGCTGACATCCTGGTCACAAATCCTCCAGATAAAATAGTCATTTTTGGGATATGTTGCTGAGCTCATTCATAAATACAGTTTTTTGGGTTAGCCGAGTGCCTGGCACAAGCAAAACCCCATCACACATAAAAGTGGCCGAACCAAACTGAAAGTTCCACATATTATGTCACAGAAATGTCCCTGTCTCTGGAATGGGATGGAATGTGTTCTGTCTTTGAAGGGATGTGGCCTGCTTACTGAATTTCAGAGAGTATTAGATGCTGTTTGTGGGGCCTGGGCACCCCAGAGGGTGTGTTGGGGGGAACTGCTGGAGTCTAATCAGCTAAAACTGCATAGCTTGCCTTTGAGAGCACTGTCTGATGAGCTTCTCAGTAGTTGTCCAAGTACACATACAGCAATTTCCTGTGAAGCTCTTTGAGAAACGTTAACGTTATAAGTGAACCTTATTATCTTATAAGGTAATCTTACCTTATGAGAAGGTCATTCGACCCATGGCATCTGTGGTGAAAGAACAATCCCCTGCCCTTTCCCCATCCCACTGCAGTTGACCACTTTTTAGATATTTAGTTCTCATTTGAAAGCCAATATGGATTCTGCCTCAACCACCCCTCACGCCAGGGCATTCCATATCCCAACCACTCTGTGTGAAAACATTTCTCCTAATCTCCTCATTTGTTCATTTGCTAGCTATCGTACATTTTGATGCCCTCTGGTTACTGACTCATAGACCAGTTATTTCTCCCTATCGACTCCAATCAAAACCCTCATAATTTAGTGACCTCTATCATGGGGAGCCTCTGTCACCCCTCAACCTTCTTTGCTTTGTGATGCTGCGGTGTGCTGGTGCTATAACAAATGCAAAGGATGTTGTTATATTACCCAACTGGTGTACAGTGGTTGTGAGAGTGTTTTATGCTTTTGTCAATAACCTGTTTGGGGTTGGTGGGTGATGGGGGAGTGGAAGAGGAGAGGTTGGAGTGATGTTAAATTGTTGGGAATGTTGGAATTATTTGGCTATTGTTTGCTTCAAAATCAGAATTTTGACTTTCTTGTGCAAACATGTTTATTGTGCAAAAATGTTTTGTATGTTTCTAACACTTATCACAGAACATTTGTTACTTTGCAGTATTTTAAACCATGAGGAACAGTAGGGTTTGTTGAGTAAAAGGTCTAGCTCCTGCCACCGCCCCAAAGGGAGGATGCTATCTTTGACCTCCAGAGATACTTGACATAAGAACATAAGAATTTGCTGGTGACAGAATACCGAGGCCCATCCAGTTCCCCTTCCACCATCCTGGCAGTCGCTTTGACATGTCATGTCCCAAACTACATACTGTTTCCCCAGATGTTATTTTCCAGCAGAAATCAATCTCATTTGTTCTTGAAACAAACAACATTTTCTGCTTCCATCGTCTGTCTCCCTGGGGGCCTGTTCCATACGTTTACTACTCGCTCACTGAAGTAGTGTTTCCGCAGATTTTTGTTCTGAATTTACCCCCTCCTTCAATTGCAGGCCGTTTTTCCATAAATGGAACCCCTTCCCCCACTCCCACCAAGAACATCTGGTTAGCTGATTAATAAGTGGCATTGGATGGTGTTTGTGGAGATCTGTGCAGTGCACATTGCGCTACGGTGCGATCTCTCCTTTCAGGGTGAAGGTGAATACTTGTCGACAGGTTTCCCCTTGGTTGGGGTGAAGGAAAGATAATGTTATGAGGGCATCTGTTGAGACAACAAATGTATTGGACACCCTGCTGACAGAGTACTGAAAAAGGTGATCCCCCCCCCCCCCGTCCCTTGGGGTTACCATGGCAGTATGACCACTGGATGTTTCTAATCTTGGTTATTTGAAAGGCTCGTCTGATTGAGTGACAGAATCTGTTCTGTCTTTTTTACTCAGGTTTTTCTACTGCTTCCTACTTAAGGGTCCATATTAAAACCCACCAGGGTGTCCATGTTCCCAACTCGCACACTTCTGATCCTTGTGACAGGCGGTGCAAGCCCCAGCCTCAGATCATGGCTCACAAACAGACGCAGAGCGGGGAAGTGCCTTTCCACTATGAGAGAACACGTTCGTTACAAGGCAAGACAACTGCCACAATTCTTTACACAGCAGTGTTTGTTATGTGTGTGTATATATATATATATAGCCAGGACCAGACAGACTTAGTCATTACGTGATATCAACCCTTAGCAAATCTTGCCTCCTAATGAATAACTACTTTTTGCCAAGGATGCGATGTTATCAATGCTTAAATGAACAAATTGTGCAAGTGCAACTGTACGAGTGGGAGAACGCAGACCTGTGCTTGCAAACCACCACCCCTCTCTCCCCCCCCCCCCCCCCCCCCACCCACACACACACACATACACATCTACTACAGTCCTGTAGCTCAGTGGTTAGAGCACTCGCCTCGCAAGCGAGAGGACCAGGCAGGGCAAAATGTTGGGTAAGTTTCCTTACTCCACACACACGCCTTTGTTTTTCCTAGCAGTAAGTAGGAACCAGGTTGTTGGCTGGAATGATACCACCACCCATAATCAGTCTTTAAAGGCTGGTTGTCTTTGGGTTGGAGGATGTAGTTTGCCTCCCATAACTATTTTAGCTGAGGAGTACAGCATGGCATGTAGAAGAGAGAGTAAAAGAATAGGGTGGGGGGGGGAGGAAGGAGTCATTGAAACAACATGCTGATTGTATTGATTCATTTTCTAATTCAAAGGCAGAAATTAAAAGGATTGTTATAACACAGAGCAGTACTGGGTGACAACTTTGATCGTAAAAGAGTATGTGTCCAGGTTCTGATTTAAATTTTCCAAGCGCTACCAGCTCTTTGTTCAATAAGGAGAATTGGATCATATTCCTGTTAAAATATTGCTTTATATTTTATTTATTTCTATCCAAAACTGCAGCTTTCTTGCTGTGGGTGACTCATCCGCCTGTTTCTTTAGCAGAGATATTCGCTATTCCAACCCTCTCTTGTCTGACAATTCAACTCTTTCATCTGTAAAAGACTCATGGGCTTAAGATCCAAATGTAGTGATGCTGAATGAATTCTGTGTTTCTGCCACAATAGGACAGGACTTGTATTATTCATCAGCATGAAAGCAAACATTCCCTTCAAACATTGCATGTTACTGACCTCTGCTGGAAAGTGTGGTTGAAACAAGAACCGATTCACTGAAGCTCCCTCCAGTTGGGATTGTCTGCCGACACTTGCTTATTGGCCTCTCAAAGCTTGGCAAGAATGGAGGAGCTCCATGTGAGTGTAAATCAACAGCTTCAGGAGCAGAGGACTGGAAACTGGGGGGTGGGGGAAATCAAGTCCTGTTATCCACCCCTTGCACAATACTTGTATGGGAATCCATTGGTATATTGATCCTGTGTTTTTTTCGTTAAGTTTATTTCTGCTTACATTACATGCAGAAATAGTTTATCTGCTATTTTCAACCCATCTCTCCTGATTGAGTTGAATTATGTTCCATGGACATTGGTGGCCCCCAAATAGGTCATACCATTAGTCCATTCCAAATTGGGGTGCAATCAATATTGACAATCTATTTGACTGAGAAGGGATCACAACAAGCAGGTCCTGCACTGATCTCCCTGTGAACTTTACACCAAATGTAAGTCCTGTAGCTCAGTGGTTAGAGCACTTGCCTTGCAAGTGAGAGACCTGGGTTTGATTCCCGAGCAGCGCGAAACCTTAGGGAAATTTCCTTACTCCACATGCCTCTGTTTACCAGCAGTGAGTAGGAACCTGGTTGTTAGTTGATTGGAGGATCGCTTTTCTGGGGAGTAATAATCTCTTCAAAAATACAATAATAATTTTTTTTAAAATTAGTCACTCAATCCACAAGTGTTCGTGGGACGCTGCTGTGCACAATTGGCTGCCGCGCTTCACAACAAAATACACAGTCACTGCATTTTACATTATATTCTGTGAAGTGATTTGAGACGTCCCGAAGACGTGATAAGGTGCTATATCAAATACAAAGATTATTATAACTAAAATCTAAAATGAAGTAGAATTGTGTACAATATCTTAATTTGATTATAATTTCAGAGCCATTTTTTTCTGTGGTTCTTAAAAATAACCACCCCCCAAATTAAGAAAAAATTAAAAAAATTACATATTTCTGTGCAAAATAAAATTTTAGATGAAATGAAAAGATAAAATGGGTATAGGCTAATGTTAAGTTGAATTGTGGGCTTAATACTAAAGCTCTTCCAAAGAACTGGCACAGGCACGATGGGCCGAATGGCCTCCTTCTGTGCTGTAATATTCTATGAATACTCTTTTCTTGAAGAAAATTTAGTCAAGGCATTGGAGCACATTTCTTTCCAGGAAAGCCTAGATATTATCTAACCGGTGTGCCACCTTATCTTTCTTCTCCTTGCAATGCTTTTTAGGTTAAAATGCATTAATTATTTTCAATTTAATTTACTGCATACTGTTTTCCAACTTTATTTTGATATTTACCATTTCCCAGCCTGGGAGGTGTCAGGCTGGTGCTGTTGGATAATCTCCTGTAGGAGATGCAGGACCTCGCAAGCTGGCTTGCTGTTAGCTTGCAGCCTGTTGGGAATCACTTGGCTTTAGTTTGGCATTCGTCTGAATATCAGTTGGGGTTAGTTTGAACTTTAATATTCACAATACCATGAAATTATATGAGAATTGCTGGCGCTAACCTGCTTCCTACCACTCTGTAACACAACTGAATGCTTTTAAGTTTAGGGGAGAGGAAGGAAGTGGGGTATTTCCTGTTTTATGATCTATGGGGCATCAGACACAAATAGATATAGCAAAAATAGACGCAAAAGCCCCGTTTAAATAAATCTAATGTTATTTGCAAACTTACTTCAGTTCATTTTAACTAGTAACTGCACACCATTGTGTAAATCGAGCTGTAACTCACAAATGCCATAACATTTAGATCAGAAACTAGTTTGTGAAAAGAGATGTTAACTGTATGTTTGAACTCTATATGTAATGTAAGGAAGTCTGGAAAATGACAGTGATTGATTATGTTGCGACTCCTTCAGTACCAGACGGTGCTAATCTTTTGTCCCTATTTCTGCAGATGGGGAAATGGATGGGCTAAAATGCCAGCACCAGGATTCGCAGGACAACTCTGACTCCTTTGGAGATCTCTCAGACATCAGTGACCTTAAATCTCCTCTGAAGCACGATCAGGATGAATCCTTTCAATGTGACCTCAACAATGGGAAAATTAAAATCGAGACCAACGCTGAGCAGTATATAGAACCGAAGCGATATCCCTGCCAGGACTGTGGCTCCGTGTTTAAATCCAAGTCCTATCTGAACAAGCACATGCTAAAGATCCATGCTAAGCCAGTGGGAGGTTCCTTGGCTGACTTGTCCTCCGGCCTGGGCTCACCCTTCTCGCCTCAGCAGAACATGTCTCTTTTAGAATCGTTTGGGTTTCAGGTGGTGCAGAATGCGTTTGCCTCCTCTTTGGTGGAGCCAGAGGCCGAGCAGAGCACAGAGGACCCTGAGCAGAAGTGAGCAACGGTATTGTCAGGGCTGCTCCTTGAAGTACAATAAGATGGGCAGTGCTTGGCAATGCCCGGAAATATCCATTTTTTTTTTAAAAAAAGGAAGACCCATCAAGGAAACAAACAAAAAAATATCACTGAGGGTACTTTCTCCCACGGCTAGTGGTGTCCTCACCGTGGCAGTTTTCAGACGTCAGCGCATAGTGTACTCCTGGATATTGCCTGTACACAATAGGTGGCAGTCGTTACAAAATCTGTGTGTCTTTGAACCACAGCCAGTGTGTGAAGTGGCTTCTCTCCAGATAAGTCCTATTTCTCACTTCCCTGGGTCAGAGGATAGGTTCCAACACCAGCTAACAAACCTCTAGCAACCTCCACCTCGGTCTGGTCAAAATGAGTGGTTTTAATCAATTGCTAAAAATATTCATTAATTAAGTAGTTTTTTTTAAAAAAAAAAATATATGGTTTGAACCAAACAAGTGTTAGGATCAGTTAAAAGTACCAAATAATGAAGAAGAAAACAATTTGCAACTGCAAATCCACAAGGAACATCCCTTGCATCGTCATTGCTTTTCCATCCAGTAGCCAACAATCCCCATTGAGTATCCTCCTTACAGACTCTATATTAAACAAAATTAATGTTACATGTTTTTTTTAAAAAAAACTTAGAAGATGGAAGTCAATGAGCCAGGCTTTGTTCTGATGAACAAAGAAGACTATCAATGTCGCTTCTTAGGTAGACTTCAGGCTCCAAACAGCTTCTGTTGAAAACACACAACACTCCCGCACTGACATTGTTCAGAGTGAGTCTCTGTTTGAAGCCATTAGCCACTGTTAATGTTGTGTCGCCTTTTGTCAACAGATCACGAGACTCTGTTGTCGCAGCTAGCTAAGCTTATGTGGAAATTACCCATTCCTTGTGTTTCTTTCTCTTTCACCAAAGTACCTGGTATCTGCCTAACACGCAGAAAAGTCTTGTTTGATCATGCAATTACATGTTTTTAATGAAACCAAACGTCTTTTTAAAAAGAGTCCCACTGTGTTGAACTTAATTGTTTCCTTGTGTACTTGAGCAACATTTACATCTTCATCATCCGACAACAAACCATCAATGACAAGTGACTTGCCGATCCAGAAGTTTGAAAATATTCCCTTGGAAAGTTGTGCTAGGATTGGACACGAGGAATTAACCAGTGATGGAGTTCTCTGCATCCAAGTTGTTTGGAGCCTTGAGGTTTTCCTTTAAAGGCTTTGAGGTATGTGATCAAAATGATAGCGACATCCGTCTTCTGAAAAGAAAACCTGAGTGGATGAAATTAATTTTTTTGTAGTTCAAAGGGATGTGTGCACCAGATCCTCAGGCAGTTAGTACAAAATCCATTTCATAATTCTGCACAGATTAACTGTGCCATATGTGCAAAAGTGATACGTATTTTAGAACAGTCAAAACTGGAGCGGGAGAACACAAATGGAGGCTACGGAGAAGGGGTAGTTTAGCAGAATCTTGCGCCAATAGAAAATGATTTCAAGAATTGGAGAAATTACATTTATATTGTGATGTAATATGGGAACTTTCCTTGCAACATAAAATCTTGACCTGACAATATCTACTAATGTTCCCCAGCCACAGCACGCACACAATTTTGAAACTTCTATTTTATGTCCACCCACATTGGTGCTATTGGTGAGAAGGCTGTTAAGGTCTTGTATTCAGATCATAGTTAAGAATATAGGTATTTGTTGGCAAAAGAAGACCAAGGTCCATCTAGTTCCCCTTCCACTATCCTGGCTGTCGCTTGACGTGTTGTGTCTCAAACTATATACTGTATCCCCAGATATTATTTTTTAGCAGAAATCGATCTAATTTGTTTTTTAAACAGTTTCACCCTCTTCCTAACTAGGATACGATCTCAGGAGCGTAAGGGCCTGTAACTCAATTGGCTTCATTTCAGGAAGGGCCCTACCTGAAAAGCAAAGTGACAATATTGGTTTAAAAGACAAGGGTGAGCAGTTAGGTGCTTGTGTGTCTAACTCTCAATATATTAAGGCTAATGACTCCATTCTAATTTGCATCTATGTGCCTCTTGAATTTGGATGTATTTCCTCCATTCTCAGTTGGCTACCAGATGAAGTTACCACACAGAGACGCAAATTATTCCTTCGGGAGGGAGCTGGGATGGAGGGCTAGTGGTGAATTGACAAACTGGAAAAGTTCAGTTTTAATCAAATCATTAAGAACATAAGAATTTGCTGAGGAGAAAAAAGACCAAGATCCATCTAGTTCACCTTCCACCATCCTGGCAGTCACTTGACGTGTCGGGGCCCCAAACTATATACTGTATCCTGAGATTATTTTCTAGCAGAAAGCTATTAATTTATTCTTGAAACAAACAACATTTTCTGCTTCCACCATCTTCCTGGGAATCCTGTTCCAATCATTAGAGGAATGAATGCCTGTGGTTCCCAAGTGAAGGGGAAACAGTGGCAGCAATTAGTCTACAAGCACGAAAGAATCGAAAACAAAACGACACTAAAAATTCATCCCAAGATTTTGCTTCTAACCTCCAGCAGCTCAGAATCAACAACCAACTAGTGATGTCCTCCTGGAGGGTGGGGGGTGGAGGGGAGAGAGGTGTGTGTTAAGCAGGATTTCCTTGAAGCCAAACTGTGACGTGTTTGGCAATGGAATGTTTGAATTGAGTCAACCATCTGTGGCCATCTCGGAAGACTGGTTTCTGAGCTGGGTGGGTTTGCAGTATTCCAGGACACTGGAGCAACCAAACCTGGCTCATTGGTAGGACTTGGATGGGGCAGAGAAATCACTGTGGGCAGGGATTCTTCCCACTCAGTTCCTGTTAACCCTGCAATCCAAAGCTCTGAAGGTTAGGGTGGTTCTAGCTCGACAAGCAGTTGGAAAGCTTGACAGGCAGCGCTCTCGATGACAAGCTATGTGGTTTTAGCTGGTGAGACTCTTAGCAGTTACCTCAACACACACTTTGGGGTCCCCAAGCTGTGGCTTTTGCCAGCTGTGCGTAGTACATTTTGGAATTGGGTGAGTAGGATGCATCCCTTCAGGGAGAGAGTGCACCTTTTATGATAAATATCTCATACATGTATTGATGGGATGCACAGAAGTCTTAAGTTTGGTTTGGATACTCTTGAAGCACGGTGATAGGTTTCCACATGTGTCAGACACCCGGCTGATCAAAACTAAAATCAGAATCAACTTGCTGAAACGTATACACCATTTGACAGAAGAGTCAAGTGAATTTCTCGTTGACAGAGGAAGTTGCGTGTGGTAGAATGTGGACCTGTAATCTTCCCATTTGTGATCTGTCATTGCTGATTACGGTTCTTATTCTTTTAGAGTCCTTTTGATTTGGTTTCTCTCTCCCATCCCCTCCAGTTTTCTCCCCATCTACTTAGCAAAAGATAGGAATTAATACCGGGTTGTATTGAAGACCTTACAGCTGTCAGAGAAGAGATTCAGACCCATTCATCCTCAGGTGGATTCAAGATCTGCTTCCAGAGATGAAAGGACAGGGTATTTAATTCACTTACACAACCAATCCTTCCACCACCTCTTTATTTTAAACAACTACTTGCATTTATATAGTGCCCTCCCCACAGGATAGTGTTTTGGATGCTTTTATAGGTCTAATTAATAAATAAATAATCTAAATAATAAATCAAGACCTTCCTCTTCGAACATGCCATCGGTCAGCCCCCACCCGACCTCAGCTCAGGTCTGAAATGCTGTACTCTGTCCAGCACCTTGGGACGTCCTCCCGATGTGAAAGGTGCTATACAAATATCATCTTATTGTAATTACGCGACTGCTGTTACTGGTAAAGTTGTCTCTTCACGTGTCCCACAATGAAAAATTGAATCCACAAGTATATTGCTAGATCAGGAATTTATATAGACGGATTGCATTTTTAAAAAAAGACAATATATACGTTTGCATCTCATGTATTTTAATCGTCCTAGAGCTGAACAAACCATGTCGCTGGATTAGCAAAGATCCTGAACAGGTTGATCAATGTGAGACACTGACTGATCACTGTACTGAGCGACAGAAATACGAGTTTGAGCCAACATCAGGAATGTGGGAATTCAGTGGAAAAGTGGGCATCATTTGAATTTTATTCAGATATGCAATTAAGGGGAGCTGATGGTGCTGCAGATTGAGATGAAATTGTTTAAATTGTGCAAGGGTCCAGTTATATATGTACAGATGAATATAATTGTAGGGCACGGATAGAACCTGGAAAGTGATTAAAAACCTAAACTTCTTCACCGGACCATTTTGATAGTCGCTGAACTGAGCCTTGATGAGATGAGCTCCATTGTACCAAAGAAAGTGTTGATCTGGATTGGGATATAGCCTTAACACAGTCATGTTAATTGGGCTGCAGTGTAAAACATCAGCTTTCACTGCCATTGTTGCTGAAAAAATTGGAGATGAGATTTATTTATTTTCTTGGGGAGTTACATAGACAGCAGAGTCCAAAGGACTACATTGTCTGCAGTTAGTGATGGTAGATTTTAGATTTGCTCAAGCAATGCCTTCAAAATATTATTCCAGACTGTTTGTGTTTTCACCGCTTCTCAAATAAAACTGCCCGCAGTGTTTTTCAGAATAATTAATTCAACAATTGGGCAGATGACAAATAGCAATTCTGCAGGTAATTGTGGGAACTGTTTAGAAATAGATTCTTGTTTACCAGGAGGAACTGGGGAAGTGTATCCAGCTTACCTTTGAGTGCTGTAGTTGCCAAGTGCATAACGCCAGTTTGAGTGCTATGGTTGGCCTTGGCACCCATGTTTTGGGGAAGGAAATCAGCCTGTATCCTGTTCCTTATCTCTAGCCTGGAAGGTGCACACATATGAATGTCACATAAGGACAGGGTGAAGCTGAGCTGTGATGACTAACGTGCACTATTAAAGCTCATGGTTGAATAATATCCGATCATGGGATCGGACATTACAAGCTGCCCCTTGGAACTGTATGAAGGACGTGTCTAAATATCTTAGGAGAAATATTATTGGAAGCAAAAAAAAGCCACCTCACCTTGAGCAAAAGAACGATATAAAATAGTTTGGCGTCTCGATTGACTGAATTGGAAACCACCGTTTTACAATGAACCTTCCCTGGGCATGTGGAAGGCACCAGAATGAAGCGATTGGGTAGCCTGGTGGTAAAGCTGGTGTCTCCCAGACAGATGGTCCTGTGTTTCAGCCTGGCATGGTGCTTGAACAGACAAGCTGTTGGGAGGTGATTTTGAACTGATTTGAAAGAAGGAAAAAAAAACCTGGAGAATCACTCGGCTACCCCATTCCTGTCAGCCCAGGGATAGCGGCAAACCACCTTCCACTCTGTACTCATCAAGTGAGCAACCACAGCAGTTTGTTAACAGATCGATCTCAGAGTGAAATAACACCTGCGCTAGCGAGAGGATCCTTTATAGTAAACAAAACCCAAACTAGGGGCTTAGGAACGTTGGAAAAATAAACCTGCTGCAGGCAGACAGCGTGTTGACATACACTGATTTTGCAAGACCTAGACATAACCAGACTGGGGTGAATATTTTAAGATTAAAACTGAATAGTTTCACCAAAGAATCTTAATTTGACACAGTTTGTTCGGCAGCTTGATACCCAGCAGCTT